TATTACATTGACGTGACATTTATCGTTAAAAATATTATCTAAAATGTGTGACTATCAGTCAAGTTATGATTATCAACCTAGGTTGGTGTATTTTTTTACCCAGACTGGCATGCACTGCGGCTTGAAAATATATACTTGGAAAAAATAAAAATAAATATTTCTCGTACCAAACCGAAGTGACAGGTCCCGAGAGATCGTTTTGCATTTATTCTGTACAGTTGGATAAAGCTGTAGATAAAGACCGAAGGAGATTTCTCTTTTTTTTCGGGTGGGAAATCAAGAGGGCAGAGGAAAATGGGAATGCCGATGACTCACAAATGTTTTTACGACACATCACAACAATACATACAGCCCCACCCACCCACCCATCCAGCAAAATCAACGGAAAGGGTAGGGAAGGATGACGTCAGTACCAAGTTGTTTGGAAATGTTGGTGGGGGTGGGGTGTACTGTAACTCCATCTTCCATATCATTATATTAGATAACACGCGACTACAAAATCTGCTACAAAACTATCCATGCAAGTAGATCAAAAATCATAAATGTTTATTCGAAACAATTGGTCTAACTGAATGATTGAGTACATTTATGAAAAACTATTAGGTGTGTTAGCACGTTTATAACATTCTAATAAACTTTGAACTGAAAAATGAACAGTCACTGTAAGAGGGCGGATTTTCGTGTATAAAAAAACTCTTGCAATGTAACCTTCCTTTAAATAATACATTAATGTTCTTAAAACCACTTAAATGATATGTTCTTTTGTAATCAAAATGGTTGACTTATCATTTGTTTTTTACACATGAAGGTTTTAACTATATTTCAATTGTTTATTATCCTCTTTGTAACTCTTCAAAGTTGTCCCTAACACAAGCTTATACCTGCCTGTTAATAAACAAAACGACAAATAACCAAAAATCGAATAAATTTAAGACTTCGTAAATATTAGAAGAAAAGCTTAAATACTGCCCAATGACCATTCTTTTGAATATTAGTATATACATACAAAAAATAATAATATGGGTAAATCTTAATCACACAAAAGACCATAGAAGATGTGGCAATTTAAGTTAACATCAATCAATTTTGTTTCATTTATAGATAATTGGCTGTTTGAGAATTTTTTTTATTGGATGAAAAACTTACATCTGTATTTTTTAACACACTAAGTAAATACTAAAAAGGATTACTAAAACAATAATTATTAGTTAGTTAATTAATATAATAAATTTTATATAGAAATATATGATGAGGGAAGCCATAGAGGATTTCTTAGCCTAACCGACTCGTGTAATAATTACGAGTGCAAAAGTAGTTTATTTTTACCAGATTAAGATATATTTAAAATTTAAATGTAACTAATTACTAGTAGATAACTATGACTTCGGCATATGATAAAAAGAATATAGACATTAGACACTTACTGAAATTAATTAATTTTTCTATATTTCAAAACTGAAAGTACACAGTGACATTTTAAATCGTATACCTACTACCTAGGTATACAAAAGTTTCTACAAGATGTGTCATATTGTTATGAAAGTATATCTAGATGATTCCAATGATTGTTCACAACTTTTTCGACTGCATAAGCATAAAACTATAAAAGGTCATAAATCCTGAGGTATTCATGATGGATGAGTTCGATAAAAGTTTAACGCCACACCTCCAATACGGTATGTTGTTATTATATTATATACCTTGGGCTACCTGCCTCTGCATAACTACCGCAATTTATTTTTACCCTAAATTTATTTCAACAGGATTGTCTAGAATAACCGTGACATGAAGATTATTGACCATAATTTAAAAATATCAAAAATAGGCCAATAACCGATGATATAATTTGTTTGTCGTACATTAACATAGGCACCTAGTTAATACATTTTTAGTACCTCGTCCTTCTTAAGTTATTAGTGTGATTTTCATTTTAAAATAATCATTAGTTTAAATTAATATTATATGGGTAGTATAATTGTGCTAAGATTTCATGTTTTTTATATTATTTAAGTGGAGTACCTAGATTGGTATCCCGTACTCTGTGTATGTTTTGTTTAATTTAATATGTTGATAGAAATGGTTTAACGGCCATCTTCAGAGCTATTCAAACTAAATAAAACATTCTCAGGTCTCAGAATACTGAGACTAAATCAAATTTACAGTCAAAACAAGAATGAAATTGAAAAACAATAATTTAATATTCTTGAAACACAAAGAAGTTTGGGTTTTGTTTTATATTCCATGCTGTATTTGGTGTAAATACTAACAAGAGTGTACTATAAAATTAGAGCGAAAACCATAAACTAATTATTGTACCTACTGATTTGAGATTAAAAATTGTGTATTATAACCAAATATGATTATCATCATAAATAAATAAATAATGCAAACAATAATTCAAAAAATATGTCACGTTCACTACAGTACTTATAGAGATTGTATCCATTATCCAATAGATTAGAGTAATGTAAATAATTTAATAAGCGATTTCACCAGTTTTTACTTGAATTAAATCACATAAATTGAGAATATTTATTAAGAAGTAGTCCATCATTCATAATGTGTATCCATATTCATACTAATTATTAAAGTAATAGTAGGAAATAGCATCCGATGGAAACCATTTAAATAAACAAAAAGAATATTGGTTTTTCGTGAGCTGAAAAAAATGCATTTGTGAGCTACTTTTTAGTTATCTGTAGGGGTTGAAAAAAATGTTAAAACCTGCTCCGCGATTTACTCATTTTTTTTTTCAAAAAAAATTAAAATAATTGAGTGAGTAGTTTCAAAGAACAAGCGTGACAAAGATTTATACATACCTATATCTTTCTATTGAATTACATTAATATTATTCAAAAGAATTTTATTTGAGTTGGAACAAAATTATATTTATTATTTATAGATCCCTATAGGTAACGGTAACCTATCTACCAAACACAAGATTAAATGTAATACAAATTTTAAATTTCATAGGTACTTAACATAACCTATAATTAATAATGACTACTTCGTCCAAAACCTAATGTAAAAGTAAAAAAAAAGTCTTGCATATACAATTTAGTGATATTTGAAATATTTTTTATTTTTTTTTTATTTAAAAAAAGATCATACACAATCTATAAAAATTTGTACAATACAAGTATGTGATAACAGCGAATAATATAGTTAGAATATTTTATTCTATATTGATAATCTCGCTATAAATTGTATATTTGAACATTAAAATTAATGCTAAAAAATACCAAATAAATTTTGTATAGAACTATTTAAAAAGCCTATTACAGTATTACGGATTATTGTGAGTGTGAAATAAATAAATGTCAATATAAATATTAACTATAGGTAATACACATTATAAATAATATACCAACATATTTCGAGAAAATGTTGATAACATAATTGCATGTACAACTTAATTGCAGTTATACTACCTGTATAATTTTCCACATTAAACTAGACATTTTATGAATATTGTTGAGAGACTAATTACTATTTATTATATTAAGTTATTAGAATAAATAATTTATTGTTTTTCCGAAATCTTATCGTAGATAATTAAAATTGACAAAATATGATGATAAACTAGGTAGCTAACAACACGCAGAAATTACCTACCTAAACATCCTAAACTAGCAACTATAAACAAATTATTCGCAGTCATACGAAACTTTTGGATCACTTTAACAATAATTCTACTAAGTGTTAAGAGGACGTCGTAAACCCGTGTGTACCCGTTGCCTCCGTCTTACTAACGCAAGTGAATTATGAACATTTTTAAACATTCATATTTTGCATACGCATAGATAGTTCGTCTAAAAATTAAAATATCATACAAAACATGTTCTAACATTTAAGTTTAATAACAAGTCAATTCCCTCTAAACACTCTAACAACACAAAATTGGAACTTACTGCTGGACATACATTTTGGTAAATTATTAGGTATGGGTTAATAACACGGAGACAACGCAGCGGGCACGTCTTCTCGGCTATAGAATGTTTAATCAACAATATTATAAATGCTGATTAGTATGAGGTAATTTACAGTAAAATTCATAAATCACATTTCATGATATATTTAAAAGTATTATTAAATACCTTCTGAATATACAAGTACCTATGATAGGTACCAAATTTGAAAAACACATCTATAACTATAAAACAGTATTACAAAAAATTGTAAGTTAAATTATTGATGTATTAATCAGAATATAATCAAAACCACTCCACAACGGTATAAACGTCGTTTACTAAACGAGTGTAAGTGTATGGATATAAGATGTCAGTCTGTTATTGACATATTGTCAGTGACAATTTGTCACCAAAGAACACGTCATGATGGACCCAAATTCCCGAGACCCACATTGTAGAAAATTAAAATGTTTCACATTCCACCATAATCTTAAGGGATTTTATGTCAGGCTACAACGAATTTACTACGCTAAACAGTACAAAAACATCATACTACATACCTCACAAGTAAAAAACGTAAAATGTTACCGATTTCGAAACTACATTAAGTATATAAACTCCATAAACTGCATTAATAGGTAGGTACAAAATAAACAAACTAAAGTATTGGCGATAGAAAGTGATAAGCCATAACGGGAACGCTGTGTGTAATGTATATGTTATTATTCCAAGAGCCCCATTACTCCCCGCCGGCCTAAAAATTGATAAGATTTCTATCAGCTATTTAGATGGCATAATTGAGTATAATATAATCATTTGGTACCAAGTTTCCTATTCAGATTTTTTTTAAATTTAATGTACTAAAAACAAAAAAAACAATTAATTATAAAGTGCTTAACCCTCCCCACACCCACCTACGTGCACGACAACGTTTCGGTGAACTTTTTTAATTAACGGTACACTCTTAAAGAACAAAATCCAGCCGATCCGTCAGTCGGAGCCAGTCAAGAGCATTTAAGAGATACGGCAAATAATAATAATAATAATAATAATAATGCAATGAAACAAAAGAACACAACGTGCACTAACCGTTATAGACTATCAGGTAAAGTGTCCACAACACTTGCAGTCGGCACCGGGACGTCATGATTGGCATAGACGTTCCGGGTAGGTGTAATAGTTGGACTTCTTCGACGGATATCACATTTAGAGAAACTCGTCACGAACACACACGACGACGACCAAGTCAGTTTTTTATTTCTGATAAAAATCGATTTATTTTTACCCGTTGTCCGACGTTCAAAATAATATAATCATCTAACTCATAATCTTACGGACGGCGATCACACTCAACACCAAACACAAAGATGAGAAAAACCAGAGTGCTGATCGACGACGGTTTTACACGCCACACGCGAAAATCTCGCGGAAAAACGCACGTAATTTCCGAGCGGCAGCGGCGGTGAAAGAGAGAAAACGACACGAACAACAGCAACCAACGGCGGACCGACACTGACTCCGCATTGCCGAATGCCGGTCTCGCACTCTGGCCGCCGCCGCCGGTCCCGTCCAACCCCCTCGTGGCGCGGATCAAGACGATGGTCAAGCAGCGACACCTGACGGCAAACGTCAGCACTAGGAAAATACAATATCGTCTAGTCTAGTCCCTACACCAATAATTTTCAGCTTTATTTTTCATTTTTGAATATTATAATTAAGCAAACTTTTATACAATGTGGTTTTTGATAATATTGACTCCCGTCCGCATGCGGTTTGAAATAATAATTAACGACGTACAATACCATCCACCAATATTCGGATAAGCGATTTGCGACCATACCCAACACATTACACATATTTTATAGGTAAGAATAACAATAATGTGATTTTTCTTATTATTTTTTTGTTTTTGTTATCACGAGATGCTTGTTTTTTCAATCGATTAGGTATTATGATTTTGAAACTTTTATAATATTATTAATAGGGCCCGGAAGTTTAAGCGCTAAAAACTAACGAAATATGTATGCACTTATGCGCTTAAAAATCCTGATATATGCGCTTAAATATGCCCTTATTTTTTTTTTAACTTATAAATATGAGGAAAAAAAATTATTAGTTATGAATTTATGAGATACTACTCACAATTTTTATTTCAATTTATTTTCACATGGGTTGTACTTTTACAATGACATTTAATTTATGATGATTTTTTCTATCGCAGTGATTTTTTAGATTTTTATTATTTGTTTATGGCTACCCGTAGCTTATAATATTGTTTAGAAGAATATTGTGTGCTAAAACATAATAATAAACCAACATAGTAGTATACTGTATACTACATTATTAAAAAGTATTGAAAGTGCAGAATGAAGTGTAACAAAACTTCGTGGATTTTCCACTGTCACACTCACACCGCTCCACTTTCAGTTATAACTTATAAGTTATAAGTACCTATAGGTACTTCAAATTACAGAAAGATTGTTCTACCGGAGTCGATAATAACCGAGAGAATATTTTTAACATTTTTCATTAAAAAAAAAAAACAGATTATATTAAATTATACCTGTATTATTTTGATAAAAATTATAAATCGTTTTTATTGCATTCAATAATCGTTTTATCGCAATCGGCGGTATAGGTTTAGTTCAGTTAACTTACTCAGATAACACCCGTTGTTAAATAATAAAATAATCAATTTCCAGTAAAAAACATGTACCGCGCGTCGCGAGAAAAAACAATTGCTATTAAAAATATAATATCATCAACTAATAATTTATTATTATTTTATATTGCAGCATAAATTCCAATGATAACAGTTATAAAAATGTGGCAAGTGCCTAAGTTCTGTGTATTCATTTAGTAGATATTACGTAGTTTCCAAGCGGTATCCTTTTGTGTAAATATTAATAATAAATAATATTATTGTATAATATATAATGTTTATTATACCCATATTAAATCACCCGCTGTAGTAGCATTTAAAGAAACCTATTTCCAATGATATTGATAATATTATATTATATTCTAAATTTTAATCCATACCTACTATTCTTCCTACTCTAAAACTGCTCCAGTGCTCGGGGTCTAATAATTATGTTTTGTTTTTAGCTTCATGTGCCATACGACACACAATGAATGTAGAAACAACGTTCGTAATATTGTAAATACCCATATTATGTACGATGTACGTGACATTTTAAGACCAAATAACTAACCGCAAACGAAATATTATTATTGTGTTTAACGATTGATTTCATGAGAAAAACCTGATATTATTTATTTAGAATGTTAATAACATCATTGCATATTAATTCCATTGGCTAAATAACTAGGTATGATCGCATTGAGACGCATTTTAGTTATGGGCTGAGCACGTACTAATATGCAATATATTATATATCTATATTGCATGATTTAGCATGGAAAGGAATCCCAGCTGGCATATGGCAGTGATTTTTAGATTTATTTATCCATGGCATTAATAATTTTGTATTGTTTTGTTAATTAATAAATCGAAGTGATAAAATGCAGTGGCGGCCATGACACCTGCGTATCACAAAGTTGCGATCATTATTAGTTATTTAGCCATGATTAATCATATCTGTTAAAAATTAAAATATTTCTCACCACTATGTTCATAGTTATTAATTTTTATTTATTCAGTGGTCTTAAAATATGAAATCTTCATTTTCTATTCAAAATGTTATTTGAAAATATATGTATAATTAATTTACGTAGTAACGACGCAGTAGAAAGCTGCTCGACTCTGTACGATATAAATAATTTAATTTAAATAAAAATTCATAAGACTCGGTAGATTATTATTTAAGCCATTTGTTCAAGTTTTTGATAGTTAGGCCCATTTAAGTATATTAATGTTCATTAATAAGATTTTTTAAATTAAAACAACTTTATAATAAAACTGTACGTAATTCCTTTAATTTCAATTAGACTGTATCCACCTTGATTATTAAAATAGTATTCGCTTATTTAGTTCAAGAATCAATACGAAAGATCATTAAAAATGTTCTTTCTTAAAATGTAATATTTTTGTATTTTACCTATATATTATACTTATCAGAATCGTATAACACGTGTACATACGATTTAATTTATTCAATGTGTTATAATGTGTGTATAAATGATAAACCTACTACACTTGGCTTACACTTAGTTTTGCAACTTGCACCAAGTTAGTTAAAAACAAAATATTTCATATCTAACGTCTTAAAGGTTTGTATTTGTCAAAAAGAGTGCAGCTCTAGTGTGTAGTATACAATTAAAATAAGAGCAATTAAAATTATTGTAATGACTTAAAAACGAAACTTGGTAAACTTGTTCCGTTTTTTTCATCGGTCGACAGTCACAACTCGCGTAGTATAATATTACTCGGTAGTCCTTAGCGAGTGAAATAGTATCACGAGAGAACGACGACTGAACAATATCCTTAATATGATTTATACGTTTGTTTTGTTCAAACTGCGTTTAGTTATTGAAGACAAAACTGAACTGTAATGATATTTTAAATTTACTGTACGCGAATATTAATTTTAACTGGTTATAAAAGCTACATTGATGCAATATTGTTTCTAAAGAGATATTTTAGTAACTGTACTGTAATTAGACTAACAGCTATCGCAGATTGTACGCTTTTGTGGACAATTTATTTATTTACCTCATTGCGTCAAAAACCCTGCGTATAACTGCACTGGAATGTGAGATGACTTAACGTGGTATTATTGGTATATTAATAAACGTTTCAAATATTAACTAAAATTAATTTAGTAATATAATAGCAGAAAAAATATCGTTTCGTTGAATGAATTTGTCGTCGTTATAGATTCTGGTTTTAACAATAAATAGATTGGCTTTACAATGATGGGTAACTGAGATTAATTTTTCTCTGTGTTTCATTCATCATTTTTGGAGCGATAAAAGTCTAAAAATTCTATCATTTTCAATTTTGATGTTGGTTTCTGATAGACAATTGTATCTTGTTGGTACTTTGGAGTGTCAAATGTGAAAATTCTCAGGACTTTTAAAAATAATTAGTAAAAACTATAAGCACATTTTTACTCAAAATCCCGTTTCTGGCAAAATCAATTTTAATTTGTTGCTGTAATTACATAATGAATACGACTTGAATTTTTCACCAAATATTTACAACAGAATTTTGTAGACAAAATTGTATTTTATCATTAATATTTTGGCTGATTTTGTGCTATTTAAAGACATACTAAATTTTCGACTTTTGTTAATTTTGTTTTACAGTAAACAGTTTGAAAATATATTGCAAGGTTCCTCATAAGTTGTAAGTTATTTTTACCAAAATTAAAATATATCCAAAAGGACATAGACACAATTTTTTATAAGGGTTTAATGTTAACATTTTTACGAAGTTCTTCAAAATTACGAAAATGTGTAAATTATTTTGTAGTTGAAAATTTATAAAACTTTTATAATTAAACACTTAAGGCCTGAAAATGTATCATAATATTCCTTGTGAGCTTTTTTTACTTGAAATTAACAAAAAGTTTAGCTTGAAGCCGAATATACATTTTTTAAGAGCAATTTAAGTTCTAATTATGACAACATAATTAGATAGATATTCACACATGAAATAACTTTAAAATTTCCCTCAAACGATTTTTATTGTTTATTATGAATATTTGTTATTTAATTACTTATAAATATTAATTTTGTAATTTATTTAAAAATATATTAATCGTAGAAATTTAAACATTCGTTAAGAATCTTCAAATTTTCAAATTTTCGCCTTTGAGGACTTTCAATTAAACTTTCTCAACTAGGTATGATACCCGCTATATTCCAGACCAAGGGTAGCTGCTTCCGACGAAGCAAGGTTCACTTACACTCAGCCACTGAGGCCCACTAGTAGAAAATAAATTACTCATAAAGCTATATAAATGTGTACTTTACACAATAAGTAACCTGTACTGAATGACGAAGTACACTTGACACTTACTATATCGCAAAGCGACTTCCTGGGTTTTTAAAAATTTGTTTTAGTCGTAGGCCATGGCAAACTCAGCAGTCTTTCGTGGAGACCTTCGCATAATAATTATTATTCTATCAGAAGAACTACACATATCTATACTAAGTTGTAAAGATTAAAAGTAAAAAAATATACCCACCTATATGATTGGGTGTAACATAATTATTCCACTATTCGTCAATTTTGTATAATATATTTATTATAAATTCACGAATATAATTTTAAATTTTAAGTTCAGCACGTATTATATATTTATATATTTTGTGCAAATAATTCAAATCTCTTTGTAAATATTTTGACCATAAATACTAATGCTGTGTGAATTTGTTTTGGCGATCCTTCATAGTGTCAGAGTCCCATCCCTTACTTCACATTTTGAGGGGTCTTTATTCTTTAGGGAATTGTGAATTGTCCTTGTCAAAGTAGATAGGGGGACCAAGTAGTTCACGTTGCTATGAATACATGAATAAATATTAATCACTGAATTAAAATGTAAAATACTTTAATGTTTTGG